TGCACCCAAGATAGGAGTACCTTAATACATAACGCAACTGCTAACAGACATAAAGGAAAAAATTGACAGTAATACAATTATAGTAGGGGACTTTAACACAACACTTACATCAATGGAAAGATCATCCAGACAGAAAATCAATAAGGAAACAGTACTTTGACAGAAAATCAACAAGGAAACAGTGCTTTGAATGATATGTTAGACCAGATGGACCTAACAGATAGATAGATATATACAGAACATTCCATCCAAAAACAGCAGGATACACATTCTTTTTAGGTGCACATGGAACTTTCTCCAGGATAGAACATGTATTAGGCCACAAAACAAGTCTTAATAAATTCAAAAAGACTATCATGTGATGCATCTTTTCTGACTACACTGGTTACGAAACTAGAAATCAGCCACAAGAAAAAATCTGGAAAGAACACAAATAAGTGGAGGCTAAATAACATGTTATTAAATAATGAATGGTTGAACTAAGACATCAAAGAGTAAATTAAAAAAAAATACACGGAGGGGCGCCTGGGTGGCTCAGTCGTTAAGCGTCTGCCTTTGGCTCAGGTCATGATCCCAGGGTCCTGGGATCGAGCCCCGCATCGGGCTCCCTACTCCGCGGGAAGCCTGCTTCTCTCTCTCTCCCGCTCCCCCTGCTTGTGTTCCCTCTCTCGCTGTGTCTCTCTCTGTCAAATAAATAAATAAAATCTTAAAAAAAAAAAAATACACGGAGACAAATGAAAATGAAAAACAAAATCTTTGGGATGCAGTAAGAGCTATTCTAAAGAGGAAAGTTTATAGCAATACAGGCTTACCTCAAGAAACAAGAAAAATCTCAAACAACATAACCTTACTCCTAAAGGAGCTAGAAAGAGAAGAACAAAAGAAGCCCAAATTCAGTAGAAGGAAGGAAATAAGATTAGAGCAGAAAAAATGAAATAGAGACCAAAAAACCCCCAAAAAACAAAAAACAACAACCCCACAAAAAAACCCCAGAAAAGATCAATGTAACCAGGAACTGGTTCTTTGAAAAGATAAAAAAGTTTATAAACCTTTAGCCAGACCCATAAAGGAAAAAAAAAAAAAAAAGGACTCAAAATCAGAAATGAAGGAAGACAAATAACAACTGACCACAGAAATACACATGATTTTAAGAGAATATTATGAAAAATTATATATACCAACAAACTGGACAACCTAGAAGAATTGGATAAATTCCTAAAAATATATAACTTAAAACTGAAATCAGGAAGAAATAGAAAATTTGAACAGACCAATTACTAACAATGAAATTGAATCAGTAATCAAAAAACTCCTAACAAACAAAATTTTAGGACTAGATGACTTCATAGGTGAATTCTACCAAACATTTAAAAAAGAGTTAATACCTATTCTTTTCAAACTATTCCAAATAATAGATTTGGAAGGAAAGCTTCCAAATTCACTCTATGAGGCCAGCATTATCCTGACACCAAAACCAGACAAAGACACAACAAAAGAAAACTGCAGGTCAATATCTCAGATGAACATAGAGGCAAAAATCCTCCACAAAATATTAGCAAACCAAATCAACAATATATTTAAAAAAATCATTTATGGTCGAGTGGGATTTACTCCAGGGATGCAAGGGTGGTTCAATATTTGCAAGTTAATCAGTATCATACATCACATCAATAAGAGAAAAGATATAGGGGCACCTGGGTGGCTCAGTCGGTTAAGCAGCTGCCTTTGGCTCAGGTCATGATCCCAGAGTCCTGGGATCGAGCCCCGCATCGGGGTCCCTGCTCGGCGGGAGCCTGCTTCTCCCTCTCCCTCTGCCTGCCTCTCTGCCTACTTGTTCTCTCTCTCTATCTCTCTGTCAAATAAATAAATAAAATCTTTAAAAAAAAAGAGAGAAAAGATATAAGCCATATATTCATATATTCATCTCAACAGATGAAGAAAAAGCATTTGGCAAAGTACAACATCCATTCATAATAAAAACTCTCAACAAAGTAGATTTAGAAGGAACATATCTCAACATAATAAAAGCCATATATGACAAACCCACAGCTAACATACTCAATGGTGAAAAACTGAGAGCTTTTCCTCTAAGATCAGTAATAAGACAAGAGATGTTCACTATCACCACTAGTCACAGCAATGAGACAAGAAAAGAAAAGGCATTCGAATTGGTAAGGAAGAAGTAAAACTTTCACGATTTGCAGATGACATGATGCTATATAAAGACAACCCTAAAGACTCCAGCAAAAAACTCCTAAAACTGGTAATTGAATTCAATGAAGTTGTAGAATACAAAATTAATATACAGAAATCTGTTACAAGTCTATACACTAATAATGAAGTAGCAGATAGAGAAATTAAGAAAACAATCTCATTTACAGTTATGCCAAAAATAATAAAATACCTAGGAATAAACTTAACCAAGGAGGTGAAAGACTTGTACTCTGAAAACTATTAAACACTGATGAAATAAATTGAAGATGACACAAACAAATGGAAAGATATTCCATGCTCAGGGATTGGAAGAACAGATATTGTTAAAATATCCATACTACCCAAAGCAATCTACAGATTTAATGCAATCCCTATCAAAATACCAATAGCATTTTCCCCCCCATAGAACTAGAACAAATAATCCTAAAATTTGTATGGAACCACAAAAGACTCCAAATAGCCGAAACAGTCTTGAAAAAGAAGAACAAAACTGGAAGCTTCTCAATCCCAGATATCAAGATATACTACAAAGCTGTAGTAATCAAAGCAGTATAGTATGGTACTGGCACAAAAATGGACACACAAATCAACAGAGCAGGACAGAGAGCCCAGAAATAAACCCATGCTTATATGGTCAATTAATCTTCAAAAAGGAGGCAAGAATATGCAATGGGAAAGACAGTCTTTCCCAACAAATGGTGTTGGGAAAATATGCAAAAGAATGAGCTGGCCCACTTTCTTACACTGTACACAAAAATAAACTCAAAATGGATTAAAGACCTAAAAATGAGAGCTGAAACCATAAAAGTCCTGGATGAGAGCACCGGCAGTAATTACTCAAACACTGGCTGTAGCTACATTCTTCTAGATATGTCTCCTGAGGCAAGGGAAACAAAAGCAAAAATAAACTACTTGGACTACATCAATATAAGAAGCTTCTGCACAGCACAGGACACAACAAAACTAAAGAACAACCTACAGAATGGGAGGAGATATTTGCAAATGATATACCCGATAAAGGGTTAATATCCCAAATATATAAAGAACTTACACAACTCAACACCAAAACAACAACAAAACCCCCAAGTAATCCAATTTTTAATTTTTAAATTAATTTTTACTTAAATTTTTAATCCATTTTTAAATGGACAGAAGACATGAACAGACATTTCTCCAAAGAAGACATACATATGAAAAGATTTCCAACATCACTAGTCATCAGAGAAGTGCAAATCAAAACTACAATGAGATATCACCTCATCACACCTGTCAGAATCGCTAAAATAAAAAACACAAGAAACAAGTGTTGGTGGAAAAAAAGGAACCCTTGTGCACTGTTGGTGGGAAATGCAAACTGGTGCAACCACTATGGAAAACAGTTATATTTTTTTTCTCAAAAAATTAAAAATAGAATTACCATATGATCCAGTGATTCCGGTACTGGGTATTTACCCAAAGAAAATGAAAACAATTAATTTGAAGAGATATATGCACCTCTGCTGTTTATTGCAACACTATTTACAATAGCCAAGATATGGAAAGAACACAAGTGTCTACTGATAGATGAATGGATAAAGAAGATATATATATATAATGGAATATTACTGAGTCATAGAAAAAAATGAGATCTTGCCATTTATGACAACCTGGATGGACCTATGGGATGTAATGCTAAGTGAAATAAGTCAGACAGAGAAAGACAAATACCACATGACTTCACGCATATGTGGAATTTAAGAAACAAAACAAACAAAAGAGATTAAAAAACAGACCATTAAATACAGAGAACAAACTGGGGGTTGCTGGAGGGGAGGTGGGTGGGGGGATAGGTGAATAGATAAAGGGGATCAAGAGCACACTTACTGAGATGAGCACTGAGTACAGAATTGTTGAATCATCGTATTGTATACATGAAACTAATATAACACTGTGTGTTAATTGTACTTCAGTAAAAAATACACATTGGGGATGCATGCTGAAATGACTTTTCTGACAGATGCATAAAGTTCAGACCACTAAGATGATGATGATAAAAACAGTCATAGCAGACAGTATAGAGTTGTCCCTGTATGTTAGCTGCTTTACACTGGTCATCTCATTCATGGCTCACAACACTCTTCAACGTAATTGCTACCTTTACCCCCATTTTACCAATGAAGAAGCTGAAGCTGTATGACGTAAGAAATTTTCCCAAGCTCACACAACTAGTAAATGATGAAGTTTAAACTCAGGTAGTCTGACCCCGTAACTCATGTTTTTAACCACTGTCTTATATGGTACCCTTCATAATTAAGTTTGCCCCCTATCACCTGGTGGGTACTAGGAGTCTCTCTTTGAAAAGGGAAGGGAAGGGAAAGAAAAAAGGAAGAAAGGAAGGATGAAAGGAAGGGAGGGAGCAGGAAAGATGGGAGGGAGAGAAGAAGGGAAGGGAGGGAGGGACCCAGTCTTCTCAGGTGATAAGTTTGCCTCACTTAGTTCTCAAAACACTATGAGTTAGGTACTTTTAAACTCTGTTTTGGAAGAGACAAGTGAGGACAGAACCAGGACATAAACGCAGGTCCTCTGAATCTGAGTTCTATATTCTTTAACCTCATTGTGCTTCTCTGCAGATCAGGTGACTAATTCAACCAAAAGTCACTGTTTAGGACATCTTGCCACGTGCTTGACACTACATTTCTTTAACTGTTATGTATGTATGTTTATATAAATTTTTTGGTACATAAAATTTTATTAAATCAGTAGGTCAATTAAAAAAAAAGCAACAGTCATCCAAAGGTAATACTTACATTATCGGGACCTATTAAACAGCCCACACTTTTTAAGGGGCAGAATGTATCAAATTGTCCATAAAAATGTCCAGTGCAGGGATTCCATATTAAATAGTGACTTTGCTCCCGAGTTAGCACATAGGCAGTTGGACCCTGAAGGAAGATAGTCATTAAAACAGTTTCTAATCAATCATGCAATTGAGGTCAAGATTAGTTTGCACACAGAATTAATTACTTTGGTTGGACCCCAATTTCTAAAATTCATGGCTAATGATGAAAATTAGTTTGAAGTTCTAGGTTGCATTGGATTTAAGAAATAAAATCAAATGTTCATTTTTGCAAAATGCTTGCATCTGCTAGTACAGTAGACCAAATAGGGATAGTTAAGTATTTAGAAGGCTGATTATGTCTGAATACAGCTTCTGTTTTTAATACAGTAACTAGTGCTTGAGATACATTTATAATTATGTAAATGCATAGAAGATGTTTTGAAAAGATACGTACCAACCTGTTAGCAGTGAATACACCTGGGGTAGGGAGTGGGTTTGGGGGTTAGAGACTGACAAAGTACTTTAACTTCTTTACTCAGAGTACTTGTCTATTACTGTATTATTATTATTATTATTATTTATTTATTTTTTTTACAGAGAGCATTTATTCATTTACTGCTCGTGTGTGGACTTCCTTTGATGTTCACAATAGCCTTCTGGGGAAGGCAGGGCAAGATTTATTATCCTGGCTTCCTTATAAAACTCAAGAGTTGTGAACTGACTTGCTTAGAGCCACACAGCTCATGAGGAATAGGCAGAGCTTTGAACCCAGGCTTCATGACTTCCTAGCCTAGTGTTCTTTTCCTTGTACCAGCCTCCCTGAAAGATAACGATGGAGAATAAATTAGTTTTTGGATGTGATAATACCTGCCCAGTGGCAACTCATGCTACCTAATTCCCAAGGATTCCTGGAAACTTGTGGCCTCCTTTGGATACACTCTTTGGATAAGCTGCTTCAATTCATGTGAATTTTCTAAACTCGTACCCCAAATTACCCTAATATTCCCAAAATTTAGGGACATTTGCAGTGGGCTGGGGGAAACATTCTAATAGTTGGTAACTCCAGTCCAATAAAAGTAACAATAATATCAAAATATAGCTCCTAACATTCTTTTCTTTGCTCCTGTGGTTGTCTGCTGGGTTCCCCTTTGCCTGCTGGTTAGTCGCAGATGCCTGAGGAAGCAGTGGGCATGACAGAAGAGATCTCTAACCTCGCCACACTTCTTCAGATCCCCTTCACTCCTTAGCATGAGTAGCACTGGATCACTAAGGGAATCAAAATTCTGAGTACCATGGGCAGCTGGGGGCTCAAACTAAAAGGACAGAGTCAGGTGGGGCCTTTGAGTGATAAATGTTCAGATTTGCCAAAAAAAACCCCCAATCAGAAGCACTGATCAGAGCCCTAGTACCACTAAAAACCATTTCATGTCTTATCACTGGTTCTCTCTCCCCACGGTGCAATCTCTGGGCCACTTTCCTTTGAACTCAAAGGATCATTATGCAAATTAGTACTGTTCATAATCTGGAACCTAACGCAAGTGTCTTAAGACAACTACACTCCTCTGTTGGAGCCAGCCTGCGTGGTCTTACCTCAGGAATAGCACTGCCCATCATGAGCCAGGCCTTCTTCCCCAGAGAGAGAAAATAATTACATAGTAATACTGCATGCTCTTCTTCGTCTCCTGCCAGGAGATCCAGAAATTGCTGATGGAGATGGAAAGAAAAGAAAAACGATGTTGTTGACTGACTGCTTCATTCTGGATGGGCCATACAGGATTTTTAAAAAGTCACTGTTAAAACTAGTGCCTTAAAGTAGAAGACCTATTTTAAAAATCGTTTTTTCCATATTTTGGTACTATGTTCTAATTCATTAAAACAAACAAACCAATATGGTATTTTCTCTGACATCGATGACGTGGATTTCTAGAATCAACACTATGGTGGGGGAGACAAATTTTAAAGTTTTACTTCTTGTTTTGAATTTATATATGATAGCTCACTATGTGTTGAATACTTTTTTGAAGACTATTTTTACATCAGTTTTAGGTTCACAGCATAATTGGAGTAAGAGATTTCCCATCTACCCTTGCCCCCACATGTTATCAACATCTACCCACAGAGTAGGATGATTGTTAGAACTGATAGACCTACATTGAACATCATAATCACCCAAAGTCCACAGCTTATGGGAGGGCTCACGCTTGGTGTTGTACATTCTTTGGGTTTTGACAAATGTGTAATGACATGTACCCATCATTAGAATCTCACAGAATACTTTCATGGCCCTAAAAATCATTTGTACTCTGCCTGTTCATATCTCCCCGTGCCCTGCCCCCAAATTGTTTTAAGCACATTGCATGCATTAACTCATTTAATCCTAGAATAAACTTCTGAGGGAGGTACTTCTCTTCCCATTTTATAGATGAGGACGTGGAAACACAGAGAAGGAATACCTAGGGAGTGGGAAAGCCAATCTGGCTCGAGAGCCCATGAATTATTCTGTTCTTTGCATATTTTCTTTAGATGTCTTGAGGTTGTGGAAATGTTACCTCTAATACTGTCAACATTATGTTGCCAAAATATCCTGGGGAACAAAAAATTTAGTGTACTTAAATTTCTTTGGTTTAGAGCTATCTTTCAAAGGATATTAAACAATATCCTACAATTATCCAAACATAGTACACATGAGATCCAGAAGCAGAATGAATACCTGTGATGATATATGTGTTTGTCTCATAGAAGATCCATTTGGTTGTAACATACACAGATTGTAAATTCCATGAGGGCAGAGGCCATGTTTATTTCGCTCATAGCCTGAATTTAGTACAATGTCTGATATGTGGTAGGTGACCAGGAAGTACATACAGAATCAGTAATGACATGGCATGCCTTAGGAAGCCCATAAATTATGGAATATATGAGTTCCATGTGTAATACAGAGTGTAATTTTGATTTTTTTTTTAATGAATGAAACTGGGATATTGTTAAGATAATACTGGGAGGATAAATCAGTAATAAGACTTCTGAAATGTTTTTTATTCTTTGTGCAAATATTTTTTTCTTAATTTCTGAACTTGGTCAAATGGAACCAGAAAGAAAAAATACTTCAGAATTTAGCTCAGTCTGCTAAACAGATGACCAAGTGGATTTTTATAAGGACCAATGAACACTGCAATTTAAAATTATACAAGCCTTTGGCCCGTGTTCAATGAAGTCAGCACAAACTAGTAAATCTGTGAGGAAGAGCTACTCACATCAGACGTGCTCCACATGTCACAGATGCCAGCAAATGAAACCGTGTCAGGCAAGAAAGGAATCAGTGATACATATCGAGCCACCAGTTCCTGTTTGAACAAAAAATAATCGAGCAGTTCCTGTTTAAAAAAATAATGTGTGGTAAAATAGAAAGCTGGATACTCTACCTCATTGCAAGAAAGTTTCATGTATCACAAACATTTATGTGTACAAAATGAAGTGAATGCTCACCAAGTGTTTACTGAGTGTTGTATTAACATTATGTCATTTCAGCCTCCGCACACATCCTACAAAGGAAGTCACTGTTAATATCCAGCTTTCACACACGAAGACACTGGCTGCTAGGTCACTTTGAAATGTCCTCTTTTTTTTTTCCTGCACTTCCTTACTTTCTGGTATAAGAAGACTTTCACAGTCATCTTGTATTTCTTCTAGCTCAGTCCAGAAAGGAGCCATTTCTCCAAGGAGCTTTTTAGAGAGCAATAGTACTTAGAAACCAAGATCAGGGCATCATTGTAGTTACGACTCATGTTCCTGCAGTTTGTAAACATCTTATTTGTGGCTTTTCATTTCCTTTGTGGTATCTTTGATAAACCCAAGTTCTCACTGTTAATATGGTCAAATGGATCTTTTTTTTTCTTACAGCTTGTGTTATTTTCCATCTTGTTTAAGAAATACTTTCTGTCTCATGTCATAAAGATGACTTGTAATAAGTCGTAAAGATAAAGTTAAAAAGTCATAAAGATAAAAATGCCTTCATATTTAAGTCCTCAATCTGTCTGCACTTGGATGTGAAGTAGGAATCTATTTTTATTTTTCCATATGTAAAAATCAGTGATTCCAGTAAAATTTATGTAATAGTCAGTCTTTTCCTTACTAATTTCCAATGCTAGTTTTGTCATCTGTCAGGTTTGAGTGGGTTATATTTGAGTGGACTTTTTATTCTTTCCCATTTTTCTCTCTGTTATCTGTGTGTCAATACCATTTTACTTTAATTACTATGGTCTCATAATAGTCTGGATGTATGGTATGGCAAATCTTCCCACTGAGTTCTTCTTATTCCTCAGGATGTCTTGGCTATTTTGGCCCTTTGCACCGTCATATAAATATTAGAATCAGCTTGTAAAGGCCCACCATAAACGGTTTAAAAATCTAGTTCGACAGTCTTTGTTTTTTAACTGGAAAGTTTAACCCCTTTGCTTTGATTGCGATTACTAGTAAACATTTAGACTATTTCTACTACCTTATTCTGTGTTTTTTATTTTTCACACTTTTTTCTGTTTCTTTTTTTTCTGACCACTCTCTTCTTCATCCCATTTCATTATTTTATCTCCCGCCACTTTGGAAGCTATATGCACTTTCTTTCATTCTTTTAAGTGATTAATTTAGAAATTTCAACATGGGGGCACCTGGGTGGCTCAGTCGGTTGAGCCCCTAACTCTTGATTTCGGCTTGCGTCATGATCTCAGGGTCATGGGATCGAGCCCCCTGTTGGGCTCCGCACTCAGCACAGAGTCTGCTTGTCCCTTTCTTTCTCACTCTGCCCTCACCCGCTTGTGCCCTCTCTAAAATAAGTAAATAAAATCTTTAAAAAAAAAAGAAATTTCAACATGAATATTTAACTTAAACTCTATAAGTTAATAAATATCTTCACTTTCCTCTTGGAAAATACAAGGGAATTAAAATACTCTCATCAGTCCTGTCCTGACATGCATTTTTTCCAGGATTTTTGTTTTTAATCACTATTTTCCATCCTCATTGCTAGTATTATTGACGTGAAGACAATGCCTGTTTAGATTTACTCACAAATTTCCCATTTTCTTTTTTTTTTTTTTAAGATTTTATTTATTTATTTGCGAGAGAGAGAATGAGATAGAGCATGAGAGGGGGGAGGGTCAGAGGGAGAAGCAGACTCCCCGCCGAGCAGGGAGCCCGATGCGGGACTCGATCCCGGGACTCCAGGACCATGACCTGAGCCGAAGGCAGTCGCCCAACCAACTGAGCCACCCAGGCGCCCTACTCACAAATTTCCCATTTTCTTTACCATTATGCGTGGTTGTCTAGGATTTTCTGAGAGTTTTCCTTCTCTGAAGTATATTTTTTAGAAATTTCTTAAGTGAGAATCTTTTGGTTGTAAATTCTCCAATGTTTGTGTGAAAGATGGTTTCACTGGATATAAACGACTAGTTTGATGGCTATTTTCCTTCAGCCTTTTGAAGATATTATGCCTTCTCTGACTTTCATTTGTGCAGCTGAAAAGTCCATTGGTTGACTCATTGTTCTTTTATAGAAAATCTGTTTTCTCTCCAGCTGCTTTTAAGATCATCTTTGTAGTTCCCTATGATATGCCTAGATTTTAATTCTATTTTATCTTATGTAGGATATACTGGGCTTCCTGCATCAGAGAATTGTTGTCTTTCATCAAGTCTTATAAATTCTCAGCTCTCTTTGAATGTTGCCTTTCTCCTTTCATACAGGGTTTGGCTGTCCTGCCTCTATCATCATTGTCTCTTAATCTTTCCTTTAAATCTTCTATTTTTTGCTATCTCTGTGCTGTATTCCAAGTAATTTCTTTGCATGCATATTCCAGTTCATGAAGTCTCTCTGTACTTACCTGTATGTAACTTAACTCTGTATTTAACTGTATTTTATGTTTTGCTTAAGCCAGTTGTTCATTGTCTCGTTTTAACTATTCTATTTTATACTTCTGTAAGTACCATGCAATTATTTTTAACAACCTGCCTGTCAGTTCTGATAGTCTACTGTTCTTCTGTTACATTTTCAATTCCCTGGATTTCTTAAACTTAGCAAACATATCTATTTTATATTCTGAATCTGATAATTCTAGTATCTGCAGTCTTTGTGGACTACTCTGCAGTGTGTGGTATGTGCTAACTCTTGCCTTCCTCATGGTGACTTATTTCTTTATTGGTGATTTTTTTTTAAGATTTTATTTATTTGAGAGAGAGAGCACAAGCAGGGGAAAGCATAAGCAGGGGAGAGGGAGAAGCAGACTTCCCATGGAGCAAGGAGCTCGATGTAGGGCTTGATTCCAGGACCCTGGGATCATGACCTGAGCTGAAGGCAGCCACTTAACCGACTGAGTCACCCAGGCACCTTATTGATGATCTTTTATGTTTGTGTTGCTTGGAACTTTGGAACTTTTTCTGTTTGTTTGTTTGTTTTTAAGGTTGAGTTTAAAGGGCGTTCTTCTAGAAAGATTTCTTTTTCCTTCTGTCAGGGATTTAGGGGCATTAGAACAGGGAACACTTTCAATTAAATTTTCAGCTGAAGTTTTTTTGGGGTCATCCGGGCAGTGTAAATTCCAGTCTCAAGTGTGAATAAATACAACTTAGTGATTAGGAATTCCCCGGAGAAACTTTTCTCATTTCTCTTCCATCCACAGTCAAGGCTGAGACAGGCAAGATTCTTTCTGCAAAGCTGGGTATTTCCTGGTGTACCCACTGTTGACATTACCTGTCGAGAGTCCTAACTCTGTACCTGAGTCTCTAATTCAGCCCCCTTCCCTGCCCTGGCACCACACATTACCTCCTTCCCCACACAGCCTTGTGGGCATGCCTTGTGTAGATGCCCAGCTCTAGGCATCAGGAATTATTGGACGACCTCAGAGCAGACACTATTTCAGACTCTCACCCTTGTGGAACCTGCTTCATTGTTCCCTGTCTCTGAGTTCCCCCCCTGCCGCCTTAGTTCTATGTCAGCCGTGATTTTAAAAATGGTTGCAAGGAGGGGAGCACTATCCCTATTCCCCTTTGCAAGGAGGGGAGCACTTAAGAGGCAGCAATAGGCTTCCACATTTTGTGTTGAATCAAACTGCGAATTTGTCAGTTAGCCCTTAATTTGTTTTGTAATAAACAACCCAAATTCTTCTAGTATTTAGCATTCCCTTGGCACTTCTTAGATTACCAAGATGGCATACTCCTCCACAAATCACTGTTTCGCTCCAAGGAATGGCATCCTGGTGACCTAAGCAAGTATCAATGACCATTAGTAGATACTTATTTAAATGCTTACCTTGTGTATGCTCGGGGCAGAGAGGAACACAAGATGATTCAAGCATGGGCCACAAGATTCAAGAAGTGCCAAGGGAATGCTAAATACTAGAAGAATTTGGGTTGTTTATTACAAAACAAATTAAGGGCTAACTGACAAATTCGCAGTTTCTCTGTGAACCAAACTGTAATACTGAAACAGAAGAATGCTCCCAGACAAAAGATGGTTTTGCTAACGTAAAGCAGTTACAGGAAGAGTTTCAGGAGTCGCTACTGATTCTTGCGAAAATTCCATGAGTAAATCCCTTAAATATTTAAATATTTAAATATTTTATTCATCACTCCTAAGTGTTCTCTCCTGGGAGGAGTTTTCTGCATATTTACTATGCTAAGAAGAATAGAGGGAAGTCCCTATTGTGATTTTTAATAAAAATTGATTAATAAAAAAAGTATCTGAAATGTGGAACACAGGTTTTACTTTTTTGCTGTATCTATATCTGCAAATAGATGTATCATCACCCTGTTCCTAAATTATTATGTTAATGACTTATTAGCAGCAACTACTCCCTAGACTACCCACTCTCTAAAGATAGTTATGGGTTACAGTATTCACTTAAAAATAGCCTGTTTAAAATACGGCTTCTGTTCACGTGTGGTTGTGATGGGGAGGGTGCTCTGCAGCCAGAGAATACGCACGTATATTTAATGGCTCAGTGTGGATGCGTTCTGTGGTGACGGCTCACACGCCGTACATCCTCAAATCTTGGAAATAATTTTTGCCTCATTGGAAGTCAGTGATGCCTACAGTATTAAGTATCATACTGAATAGTTACCTTGCTATGGTAGAAAGTGCATGAGTTCTGAAATCAGAGGCCTCGGTTTGAATCCCAGAAAGTGATGGAGGACGCATACTGAGGGCATGTTTATGTAAGACATTGCCAAAGTGTAAAGCATCTTCCAAATGTTAATTTCCAGAACCAGTCTAGAGCCAGGGACACGGTAAGCACCCCACGGTCGTTCACTGAAAGAATGAACTAAGGATTATTACCCTCTCTGGTACCTTCAGACTTTTCTAAAGAAAGTGAGCCTCAGAGTAATAAAAAAGTGCTAATCATTTCTTTCACCACTAACGATCTCAATATAGTGACTATCTTAAGTCCTAGGAAATATGGTAATTAAGAGGGCGGTATGTTAAAACGAACACATTTTTAGGAGCAGCCGTGACGGGCTTGTGAAACACACTCACCTCCATTGCCTGGGGGCTGTTGGGGCAGGCATCCAGGAGCTCCCGCGGAGGGTTTAAAGGCTTGAGGTAACGGGTGACAAAGACGGTTTTTCCACTGATGTCAGTCACCGTCGTGAGACACTGGCGGTGTGGAAACTTTAAGGCACATTCGGTTTGAAACTTCGCTGTTGCTTGAAGCAATTTCTCATCTTCCTGAGAATCAAACTTCGAAAACAAAGACTCCATGGAGTTTACATCTGATTACCGGAGACACAGAACGCGTTGCGATCCCACAGTCGACATGAACTAAACATGTGCTTCAGGAACTATGATTAAGTGACCCCTTACGCTATTGCCATGCCCTGGAGTCCCAGGGCTTTATTTAATTATATTTATAATCTGAAGATTAGATGGATTCATTAAATGCTTAAAATATATTGAACAGGACTGAAAGAAAGCAGTCAACAGGCAAGCAGCGCTATGAAAACTATAACCACCTCTATAGAAAGTAAAGTATAATGTACTAATTCTGATGGATGAGACCAAGCAGTAGTTTTATGTGTATTTTGACATTGGTTTTAGAGGGGGGAGGGGCCCAGAAATCTAACATCTCAAAGGCAAAGCTTGAGCAACTCATGTTAAATGCATAACAGATTGACAGATACATGTTGATATGTTAAGTTTTAAATCCATGATCAATGTAATACATAATAGTAATGGGTCTCAAGCAAAAAGGAAACAGAACTAGAAAGATCAAATGTATTATATTTATTTTAAGCAGTTCTCTGATCCAAGATGAGCTACCAATTCCCAAGCTTCTGATAGTAACTCAAAGCAGATGAAACAGAACAATTTTCATTTGCCTTTAGACACATGTTGTAATTTTTTTTCCCTAAAGCTATTACTAAAAAAAAAATAGTTTGAAAAAAGCAGATATTTAAATGTTTTTACAAGAATTTTATTGCTTAGTATAAAAATATACATATGGTTGCTTACATTTCAAAGGGTTTCAAGATAAACTCAAATAAAATTTTATTAGAAAAATTAACTGTTAAGTAGAATTTAGATTCTAGGCAGTGCCTGAAAATGTGTTTGTTTTGAGAAGGGAAGTGCACCCAACTATCCTTCTCATGCTCTGCTTTATTTATTTATTCTTTTAGCATTTAAAATCACTGATAAGTTTACTCTGTCTCCCCCTATAGAGTAAGATTCCTAGAATCGGGGATTTTGTTTTGCTCTTGTTTTTTTATCTCCAGTACCAATACCACCTGGCACGTAGTACACATAGTAAGTGTTTAACAAATATTGTTGAGTGAATGAACAAGTGCACAGAAAACATCCCCTTACTTTTTTATGACTTCAGATAGAATCTAGACTATCCCAGCTGTTCTTGACTTCTGTTTCATTGGAGCTGGACTGTGGCTCCTGTTTCTAATTCGATTGCTGTACCCTGAGGGATTGGGGTAGTGGTTGTGGGGATTAAGTAGGATGGAGGCACTTCCGGAAGCCTCCCACATACTCCCATGGGATGTCCCTGACATCTGAAACTGAACATCATCGTCATCTGCGTCATCACTGTAACCACCTACTGCTCAGCATACCGCCGCCCCACGGTAGCTGCCCGACAGATGTTAGGACGGAGATATAAATAAATGGAAATGGTGAGCTCTGAAGACTTGTTTGGTATAGGTGTGTCACAGACTCCTGGGATAGAACTGTCACCCCAGAAATAATTGTAACTTTAGAAAGACGGAGAATCATGCAACAAGAGTGCTATGAAACAAAGCACCCAGTGAATTCATCCCTATGTTCTTTACACTCATTTATTTACTTACTCATCCAGTTATTTGCTGAGAGTCTGAAAGGTACCAGGTGCTGTGGATAAATGAGTATGAAACAGTGCCCTAAGCAACTTCTAGTCTAGAGGAAAACACTAACAAGCAGTCAGGCACTTGAACTACTTGACCAGAGATTCTATGGAGATAAACACAGGATGCCAGGGGAGCACTTAAGAGGCAGCAATAGGCTTTGCCCAGAAAGAGCAACAAAAACCTTGAATCAGTCCTGACTATTGGCCTTCCAGGTTGAAGAAACTATGTCCAAAACGTTTTCTACCACTTGGACCTGGATGTGCAGTTGTGTATCTTGACTACGTACCTAGTGCTTCGTGAGAGCAGGGCCCATGCTTGAATCATCTTGTGTTCCTCTCTGCCCCGAGCATACACAAGGTAAGCATTTAAATAAGTATCTACTAATGGTCATTGATACTTGCTTAGGTCACCAGGATGCCATTCCTTGGAGCGAAACAGTGATTTGTGGAGGAGTATGCCATCTTGGTAATCTAAGAAGTGCCAAGGGAATGCTAAATACTAGAAGAATTTGGGTTGTTTATTACAAAACAAATTAAGGGCTAACTGACAAATTCGCAGTTTGATTCAACACAAAATGTGGAAGATTCTTAACTGGTTCAATTTTTTTTTTTTTTTTTACCTCTAGGTTAGTGTCAGTATTTATAGAAAATCAAATGGGTTCAAAACCTCTCTTTGGACACACTGTGACAGCTCTCCTAATCAGAAATCATTGTCACAGCCGCGCTGTCTCTGTAAGAAGCAGCTCCATGGATTTTATAGGCTTGGAAACAGTGGAGATGGTGCCCAGCATGCAGGCTACATTCACACCTATGACTTCCTACATTCACAGCTAACTAAGAATCTCTCTGGCAAAATGAAATGGGCCGAAAGACAGAGCTGGACATTCTTCATGGAACTTCCAACGTCTGCTGTAGCTCATCGCCAAGGGATCGCACATACACCAGGACCCATCAGCTTCCATGAAGTGGCAGGGGACGGAAATCAGCTAAGTAAAAGCCTAATAACTACCAACGGATGTAAGACAAAATACCTGGTATACCTTTTTAAGCATGTCACTCATCTATCAGAGGCAAGAAAGAAAAAAGAAATGAGAGGAAGACTTTATTAACAGAAATAATCTATTTTTAAAAACTTAACTTTTCTCAAGACAACGTAAAGCAGTTACAGGAAGAGTTTCAGGAGTCGCTACTGATTCTTGCGAAAATTCCATGAGTAAATCCCTTAAAAAGTCAGGGAATGGTTCCCCATGGGATAATGATGGAGGGAAGACTCTGATTTGCTAATTCTGGAAGTTGCTGATAAGCAGAAAACCAATTCCAGGTTGTGGGCTCTATGCTCTTAGGGTGAGAGCTTGTCTCTCCCGAATCATCTGCAGGGGACTCACCCAGCAGTGTTTTCTGCCACTGTGTTAAGGACATCAGGGTGTTGTTGGTCCACATGCTTCCTCATCAAATAGCAGCAAAGAACCTGCCCTCCAAAGGGGTTTCTTAAGCCTCCTTTCAAGAGGCCTGAGGGAAATGCTCCACACACAGCGGGGCAGTGACCTGTCACCGAAGCAGCAGTGGACAGCCCTGTCACCTGGCTGTAGGCGGGGCAGGCTGTGGACCTGGGGCTGGGCTTCAGGGCCCGGGGGGTGGGGGGCAGTGCCAGGTGCTAAGGCGGCTCTGGGCTCTGGGTTTCAACCCTTTGGCCGCGGTCGCAGACTGCTTTCACATGCTTTGGAAGCTCACCTCCAGATGGAGTGCTTTTCCTTCGTGAAGAAGACATAGAAATAGCAAAACCATCTTTTGTCTGGGAGCATTCTTCTGTATCAACATGCTTGTTGGCTTTCTCTTGAGTTTATACATGAAGGAAGAACATTCAGCATACATGTTTCACTTCCTAGAAATATTCTGAAGCACATGTATTCTGCCATGTTTTCTAGAGAACAGATTTGTCACAGCGTTTGTGACAAAGGCCAGCATGTGAGATTAATTTGAATTTCAGTAGATTTATTTTTTCCAATAATCCTTGCAAAGGGGAATAGGGATAGTATTTTTCTCTGTGAACCAAACTGTAATACTGAAACAGAAACAGAGGAATGTGCTCATTTTTTTTTCCATCTCCATCTGAGTCTTAATTACAAAGCTAAGATGGATAAACTAAAGAGTCAGCAGGAGAATCCGCGTCTAGCGTAGTAGGTGACAAGCTGGGTTTACACATGAACGTAAGCTCCATGGGATTTTTCTCTGCTTTTCTAGGCTGCTGTATCCCCAGTGCCTGAGAAATGCCTGTCACATAGAAGATGCTCAGTAAATATTTATTGAATATATAAGGTTTCGAGTCAGACAGACTTGTTAGCTCTGCATTTACTGTCTGGGTGAACTGGAAGTTGAGCCTTGGTTTCCTCCTGTCTCAGTTGCAGACCCACCGTACAATACCGCTGTGAGTATTAAGAGAGAACAGGTGTGCTGAGGACCGAGTAAGAACTCAGTACGTGGTGGCGGGTGTGATGGCATTAGTTTATGGTGTGAAGAGGTCATGATCAGTACTTTCCCCCCAAACCAGTGAAGGCGGTGCCCGTTAAGGCTGCATGAGCATGTTACATTAAGGAGGTGTCTCCTGGCTATAAGGGTTGGGAAACAGTTGCTAACAAAACTACGTTCTGGAAACTCTTTGTTGTAGAGCTGTTCAGAGTTAGAGCACTTGTGCAGATATTTGTTTCTGTCTGAAGGCACTGAAATGAGGTGACCCCTGGAGGTCTAGCCTTACGATCCTATAAATCGATTCAATGCGCAGCCCAACCAGGGACCTGAGGTCACACGTGGAGGTGTACTTCAGCATGCTTGCCAATAAACATCAAGATAAAACAGCAGTCTGCTTTTTTTCTTCCCTTAAGAAAATTCTTCTAAACCTGGCGCATGTTTATGTTTGTCTTGCTTGGCCTGAAAGTTTAAGTTGTGGATCAACCTAAGTATCGGCTCAATGGAAGTACCAATCTCCAATCACCCCTTCCTTCTGTCCAGACTCTAAGAGTGGTGAGTGGATAGTGTCAGGAGCCCTCTGCCTGCGCCACGCAGTCTGCGTTTGTAAAAGCACAGCCCAGCAAGCATAGTGGTGTCTCATCAGCATCAGACATGCGATGCTCAAGTGGGGGCAGGGTTACCTTTTCTCGAACAGACTCCCCGGGAACCAGCTGAGGCTCGATGGTAATGAACAGGGTGATGTAGGAGCCTTCACTCAGGCTTCGCACCGAGTCAAAACTCCGCTCGATAATCAGGTTTCGCTCCTTACTGTAGCCCAGAAGAACAGGGGGAATGTCTATTTTAAACGTCCCATCAATCTGTGAAGAACATACGACTTGGTGAACATCCTGGTGGTTTTCCAGTGAAAGTTCAAAGGTAAGTGTCAGCCCCTCACTATCTGCTGAATCCAATAAAGACTGCTCGGACTGGCATTCAAGGCTCCCCCCTCTTTCTGGGCGTGTCTCCCTGAGCTCTCACGGGAAGGGCTCTCTACTTCCCTGCCTCTGCGAAGTTCTACAGAGCGTCTCCCAGCTCTGCAGGTTGACCATGACAGCAGGTCACCTGGGTTCAAATCCTGGATCATACTCCGGGTGCCTCAGCTCGTGCATTTATAAAGAGACAATAACAGGACCTACTTGTAGGGTAGTTCCGGGTGCTGGATGAATAGATGTCAGACACCCAGAAAAATGCCTGGCGTATGCTCAGCGCTCAGTATGGATGGGCCAGCAGCCTTTCCGCCTTTTCTGGAATGCCCCAGAGTTTCATCCCCCCTTGCGGAGTATCAGTCATTATTTCCAGGTTCGGGTCGGATGTCATCTCCTTCGTGAATTATTTTGTTATCTCCAGCAGCCTCACACAGAGTGTGTGTCTTCCACTTGTTACCATGACCCATTCTGCCCCACTTTGTAGTCGTGTGCCTGTTCATCACTTTGTTCTGGAGACCTGATTTCTCTCTGTGAACAGATCTGTGTATCACCCCCGTTTCTACCACCCTTCTCCAGCGTAGAGCAGCGTTTGGTTTACACAGCAGGTGCTCAGTACCTGCGGGTCTAAGGCAGTACGAGCCACTTATATGAAATGACCTGACTTCTGCAGAGGCTCCAAAAGACAGGACTTTCCACTCTTGTGTAGCCAACGCAACAATAAGTTTATAAAAGACTGTTTAGTGCCACACAACTTTTCAGGGCCGGAATTTGAAATTCACACGCTTACAGAGAATCTGATTTTCATTTCGGTCTTCAGTGGCCTTTATGTCTCAGGAGAAATACAGAAAGAAGTTAAAGTTTCAGTGACTGCGCCTTCTAGGGAGGAATTACGTGAGCTATTGTTTATTTTCCTCCTTACATCGGTGCTTTGCCCCAGAGCCTGCACTGGGGGGCAGGTGAGGGGTTCAGGGAAAAGGATACAGAAACAGACCGCCTGGGTGGCTCAGTCGTTAAGCGTCTGCCTTCAGCTCAGGTCATGATCCCAGGGTCCTGGGATCGAGTCCCGCATCGGGCTTCCTGCTCAGTGGGGAGTCTGCTTCTCCCTCCTCCACTCCCCCTGCCTGTGCTCTTTCTCTCTCTCACAAATAAATAAATAAAATCTTAAAAAAAAAAAAAAGGATACAGAAACAACGCCGTGAAACGTGCAGCTGAAACAACCAGGCACATCTGATGTGGCAACTAGGCCGATGACCCAGAAAGGAGTGGGTGTTCTCTCCAGATAGCTGGAGTATCAGGATTTAAGACAGGGTTTCTCTGCCTGGGCACAGCTGGTCTTTGGGGCCTGAGGACTGCCTGTGGTGGGGGCTGTCCTGTGCACCGTGGGGTGTCTGCAGCATCCCCGACCTCCACCCACAAGACACCACTAGCTCCCATTCTACTTGTGACAAACAGCAGTGTCTCCAGACCCTGCCCAATGTCCCCTGCGGTTGCATGGAGGAGCACGAGTTTGGGAGTCAGACGAAACTTTTAAATGACAAATGTAATAAAATCATTCTCAAAAGTAATACTGAAATGTATAAACCCCAACGTTGAATAGTTCTCTCCGTTTACCAGTCTCACTCCCCAGGGATACGCAATGTGAGCATTGTGGGAAGTGGGTATAAGCTGAATCCCACTCTGCTGTAAGCTTTGGGATTTGAGTAGTGACTTCACATCTCTAGGCTTCTGTCTCTTCATCTGTAAGATGGGGACAATAAAGCCGACTGGGTTGTTGTGAGGTTTAACCGAGGTGACATACAAACTAGCTAGTAATGGCATGTAATATAGTTACTCCTACTGTTATTAGTGGGTCAGGATTCGACTTGTTATGTGTAGCTTCAAACCAGGACCTACAAATAGGGAATCACACAGATTATGGCATGGTTCAAGGAAGAAATTTATAACATAGCTATGGCAAAGAGATCAAATTCCCTGTTTCTAGAGGTACTCAAGCAGAGTATGGACATGACCACAATAAAGGAGATTAATTTATCAAGAAGGGATTGGGAGTAATTACCTCTGAGTACCCTTCCAAATGTGAAATTCAGCAATGCCAAATAACATGGCAGTTTTGTTTACAAACTCGTGTGCTCTTAAACAAAAAAAAATTTTTTTCATTTAAGATCTATTTAAAGAGGAAAATGTAAATTTTTTGGCCAGCACATAACGGAAGCTTCACCTGGAGACTGTCCCGAGAATTGCAATTCCAATTATCCTTAAGCTTCCAACCCATCCAAGCCTGGGTCTTGCTGCAGACTGTGGCCCGGGAGACACCTGGTCTGGGTGGTCATCACGTGTAGGATTAAATTGCTCCCTCTGTGGCTGTGGGAGATTAGCTACAGGCTTGTGGCTCAAAGCCTCCCGTTGCCATGGATTTAATACCAGGATATTAAAGCCATTGCAGAATCTTTCACCGTCCCAGATTAGAGCTACTAAGTCATTCAAGAGTTGTTAACCTAATGGGTCCCCTTAAGCAAAATCACTAAACTCTGAAGAAGGGTGTCTTAGTTGAACAGGTCTCCACTAACCGTTTCCCGTGTCTGAAATGGGGAGCACTCTAGAAGCACTAATAGAATGCACGTGATTAAATGGGCCGTCACTGTGCTGACTGTTCCCTTCAAGTTACTTTCAGGCATCCATCCACTCCATTTTGGTCATTTTGACACGTTTCCGCTCCGTCTCACCATCTGCTTCACTTCTACTTAAATGTTAGAAAAATTCTCAGACTGGAACTGTCCTCCATTAACTCCTGACTCTAAGGCAGATGGATGTTTTACAAGCCACGCAAATATGACCCAAGATCAATGGCTTTTTCTCTTGCTGACGGCGGCTCGCACATAGGTTCTCTCAGTGGGGAGGGTACGGGAGCAGTGGACGCAGCCGTTCCCGAGCCCCACGGAATTCGGACGTCGGATGCTTACCTTGGCTTGGAAGTAAATGGTGCTAAATGGGATTTTCACGCTTCCCAACCAGTGTCTCTCAATATGGGTGTGGATTCCCCTTCCTCTTTCACGGTCATCCTGCAGGGGGTGGGAAGTGGTAACTGTTGAGCAACGTGGGCCACTCATGTAATTAACCGGCCCCGGGAAAACGGCCGGGCTGTAGCCGGAAGCCCGCAGGGTAGGTTAGACAGACCTACGGCCCATTCTGGTTCAGACACTTCATCGTTTTGTGGCCCTGGGAAGGTCACTCAACCCCTCTGCACCTCAGTTTCCCCTTCACTAAACTGGAGATTTTACAATCTCCTTCACAGGGTTGTTCTAGAATTAAAACCACATATGTAACCCACCCAGTGCAGTTATCGAAAATCAAAAAGCTAGTTCTCTTTCTCCCTTCTCCCTTCCCTGCTCACACATGTCAGGTCTGAAACATGTCAAGCAGCACAAAGACAGAATGTGTTAGGGACTTACAGTGGGTAGAGGACGTGAACATGGGTGCAGACGGCTTCCTCCAAACTGTGAGCTTACCTCTAGGACGTCGTTCAGCACTTCATCAAAAATGTTAATGAACACATCGTCTCTCACTGACTGCAAACTGGTGGTGCTGTAATCCCCATTGGGGGCCCTGCACAGGGGCACATGTGACCAGGGACCATGACAAGGGGCAAGATAGAAACAATGAGCGCTCAAATACCCAAATCTGAAAAATACTCAAATATGAGCATAGACATGAGGATTAAAAGCAGTGCTTTCATTTCAAATATTTACCTTTGTACTGAGACGCTTTAACATAATACCTATACTCAGGTGGAAGGGGCCCTAGACTGGAGGCTCCGTACAGACAGAAGCCCCGTCTGCCGGCTTGTCCTGCCGAGTCTCCCATCATCCCCTCAACCTGCATGGTGAGCTTTGCGAGGAGCCAGCTGGCCACAGCTGAGCTGGCTCGTGGACAGGCTACACTCAAGGGCTCCGGCTGACACTCGTGCTGGTCAGTATGCAGGTTTCCTAAGCAACTGGGCTTTAGAAGATGCGTCTCCAGCAGAGCACGCCCCAGTCTTAAACTTCCTGGTGTCATAAGGCTGCTGGAATGGTCCCTGCCTCCCACTCACTTTCCCATAGCTGACTAAGCAGAGCAGGGGTGAGGTTCATCTCCTGTAATATCACCTGCTCTGAGTCCAGCCCATACTGGGCTTTGCATGTATTTTGTTGAGCATCTGCCTTTATGTTTTCTCCTTCCATACACATAATGGTATGTGTCCCTCTCTTCTGACTGAACCAGCTCTAGTCCTTGCTCCGTCTCTAAGATACTATGTGGCCTTGCCAGTCACCTTCCATCTTTGGGTTTTCACTTCTTTTCTGTAAAAGTAGAGTGGTGCACTAGGTAATTTCTAAGGTTGCTTCAAGATCTGAAATAAGGAGTCTTTTAAATACCTAAAATCACTTAAAGTTTTAAATGCGTATGTAGTATTTCTCTTGAGGAAGAAAGCATAATTACGGAAAGTAGGGAGTTACAGACTGGGGAGTTTACTTGAAGCTTCCAGAGTCGGGGAGACGAGGAACAACAGAAAGCTGTGTAGGGACTGTGGGGTCCAGGGAATGGGAATCTTGGGGCTGCAGGATGCCAGAGCCTGGAGAGGCATGGAGGTGTCCCAACAGTGAACCTGAGTTTCAAAAGTTGGATATTTTCCCATTTTACTCTCGACTGGAGTCAGTTGTGAGACCAGAGGAGCAGCGTGGAACTCGGGGTCAGACTCTTGATCTTGTCCTGGCTCACGCTCCAGAAACTTTCACCCCCGAGGCCCCATTTTATTCACATTTCTTCGAAATATCCTACAGTTCCCTAAAGAGGAAAATACACTCACCTAAAAGGAAGTTCCAGTTCTTCATTCCAGCTGGGGTTTGGTCCTTCAGCTGTAGTTGTGTGGCAAATCGTTCGTTGAAAAGAAACTTCTACAAAAGGACGTACTAAAACCTTCAAGAGAAGAGCAAGGTGTTAGAGTCCGTAACGGCTCATTGAATTATTTTGTTCTTGGCAGAGGTAGAATATGTTGACTAAGTAGTGTGTTTCCAAAGAAAATGAAGCATTAAAGAGACGATACAGTTTCTGGGCAGTTCTGAAGGGGCAAGGATCTAAGCTGACACGCAGCATCCAGGTACGTCACCTGGCCGAGGGGGTAGTCCGTGCTGTGGGTGGGGCTGTGTGTGGTCGGGGAAGCAGCACGCTTCTCGCTGAAAGTCCGTGACGATCTTGATGGCTGCTGGAATTTGCTAGGAGGGAGAAATGCAGGACAGAAATTAGATACTCAGCAAGATGGCTTCTCCAAAGAGGTATGGCTCTGGAGACAGTGTGTTGACACTTCAGAAAGCTTTTAGTATGCTCGGGTCATCTCCATGACCTAGTGAGTAATAGAGCCGTCCCAACTCCCACCCCTAGCCCTGCATGTCTGGCTGGAACAGAGAAAAGGGTCCTCCCCCCCCTCCCAGGGGGTGCCTGAGTGAGGAATCTGTCTTTCCCCCCACAAATGAGAGCCTCAGTCCCTCTCAGGTGGCAGAATCCTGAGCTTCCTGGCCAGCCTGCCCTGTCTCCACCCAGGTCCCCTCCCACTGCATTCATTCTCTGTGACCTTGCATTCTCCAACAACTGTGAGCTACATATCCCATGTAAGACCCCTCTCTCCAGGCCTGCCAAGCCTCCCTGGGAAAGAGACCCTTACAGATTCCTAGCTTGAATTAGGATCTATGGGTCTTGCCTTCTTTCCCTTTTGGGATTCTTCTTCTTTTTTTTTTTTTTTTTAAGAAAGAGAGCATGCACGTGAACCAGGGTTGTGGGGGGGCAGTGGGTAAGGGTGGAGGTAGAGGAGAGGGGGGCAAAGGGAGAGGGAGAAAGAGAATCTTAAGCAGGCTCCACGTCCAGCATGGAGCCGGATGCTGGGCTCGATCTCACGACCCTGAGATCATGACCCGAGCCGAAATCAAGAGTTGAATGCTTAACTGACTAAGCCACCCAGGTGCCCCATCCCTTTTGGGATTCTTAAAAAAAGAAATGAAGATCATCTCCAGAGAGTCTCTCCCAGGTACCTCTCCCCTCCTCCTAACGACACGCCTGCATATTTGCACTGAACTTTACAATTTACCAAGTATTTCATATTCATTACCGGCCAAAGTATAAATTGTCTCTTTCTACCAGACTGTCTTCCCTTTTCACAGATAAGGGTATCAGACAAGCCATGAGACAATAGAAGTGGAATATTTAACAAAACAGCTGCCACAGAAACCCTTCTTCTCTCTGGAACACCACTGATTACAGTATTACAAAAACATCTGTGAAGCACCTACTATATTTGCAGCCTGTGTTAGACTCTGGGGCTGCAAAGATAAATCAAATGCACTAAAAGGGCCAGCAGACATGTAAACAAATAATCACAATCCAGTGGGAGGCACATTAGACCATAGGCATGGGCATGGGCCAGAAGAGTACAGAGAGGGAGATGAAAAATCCAATCTAATTGGATGCAAGAGTAGAGGGTGAAGATTTGGGCAGGCTTAATGCAAGAGTTGATATCTGAGCTGTCTTAATGAGCCTACACGGAAATGTATAACACAGAGGATCAACCAAGCTTCCTTGTAATTTGAACGGAATGGTTTAACACTTAAAAAAAAATTCTATAGAGACCAAAATAAGAGAAACACCTATACGTTATTTTAAAAAACAGCTTTTCTCCCCACAGTTGAGCTTTGATGCAATCAAGGTGAAGGGGTTGGGCTATGGCTCGAGGAAGCAATGCTATGCACAGATTCAAGAGCTTAAATGGACATTTACTAGTAACCAAATGCTGGGAATAGTTGGTGATGATCAGATGTTCTGGAATGGGTGGAAGAGTTAGGCAGTAAAAAAAAAAAAAAGAAAGAAAAAAGAAAAAAAAAAGGGTAAAATAATGGATGGGGGATAAATTTAAAAGGAAGATCCTAGAGAGGAGAGAAGATGCCAAAGTCCAGAACGGTGCTCTTCTGTGAATCAGATGGCACTGGGTGACCCTGGACAAGCCACCCACACATTTTCCCTTTTGTAAAATGGAGATATTAACAGTAGTGAGAAGTAAGCAAAATAATCTGTATGAAAGAGCCTTAGCATAGTGCGGGGAAGCTGATGAACGGACAGGAAAGGTCAGCCTTCCTCATTACACGGGCAAGGGTACCAGCTGGTAGAAGTTTTGATTCTTGCTCTTTCTTTCTTTAATTCTTGCTCATCTCTGTTCTCTAAAGGGGGTAAGAGACTCAAGCTCACCCTACCCTGGTTGGGGGGTCCGCACTGCCCCAGTGTAGTGAAACGTAGTAGGCATCACTCATGTCTCAGAGCAGATAAAAGGGAAGTCACATTTTTATGCTCATAGTATGTGTGTTTAGAACCTAGGACATACACCTTTCGGGTATCTGCCTAGCTCACACCCACTTCTCCGAGAACCGTTCCCCACCTTCAGGCCAGGGCCTGGGGACCCTGCCTCTCTGGCTGTAGGTGATTAGACCAGGGATAAACACCTGACCCAAGTTAGGACCTTCAGCTTTTCTCCTGAGAAGATGATATTTGGTGGATGGTACCGTGGCTGAAAGGACCACTTCCTTCACATGGAGATGAAGCAGACCCACAGAGGGAAGCAAGCAAGAGAGACAGTGGGCCTCAGAAGAACCATCTCAATCTTTTACCATCCACTGTCCACCATGTAGTTCAGCTCTTAACCTGAGTTCTCTGAGATATTCCCAATGAACCCCCTCTTTAGCCTAAATTGACTGAGTTGGTTCTATTACTTGCAACCAATAGTGTTTTGGCTTCAGTAAGAGCGCGCCTCACTCCTAGCCCCCATGATCAACCACTATGTTCAATGTGGGGGTGGACATGCTATAAAGAAGTGAACCACTTGGCTGGGACCCTGTACTCTCCATCCCAGGGCCATCTGGAGGGCTCTCACCTTGCTGTGGGCTTCCTCACGGGAATGTCATAAGCCCGGATGATGTTCACCAGCACCTTTATGTCTCCATCAGACAGGTTTTGGGCTGTCACCTTCTTCCGACCTTTTCTCCTTGGCCTTAGTGGTCGCTTTTGTTCTGCCAGCTTGAAAAGGCTTAGCCCCAGAATGCTAATGATTACAGAACAGGATTAGGACTCTGAGGAAAGGAAAGGTCTGGAAAGCTGTGAGACCATTTCCCAAACTCTTCCCCAAGGGGCCCTCAAAGGCCCCTGAAAAACTCTTGTCTTTTTAAGGAGGGTGGAAATCGTCAAAGAAATTCTCCCGAGATTGGGGAGATCCTCTGGTGTGGGTCCTTACACTGATTTTAGTTGCTACTGATCAGAGGAAGAAAAGTGTGCTTGGGCCCCTCTTGCTTCCCGCCGCCTTGTGCTCTGCCTGCTCATCCCTCAAATGTGCGGGTGCTCTGCCTGTTCTCGACCTTTGCTCGGCCAGGCCAGTCCTGTGCATGGGTGCCCTCCCCACTTCCTCCTTGTCTGCCCCTTCAGGGCCGGTGTCTCCCTTCCCCAGGGCCCCAGCCACGCCAGCTAGAAGGGACGCTCCCTCTCCTAAGCGCTGGAGCACACATTAACCTGCTCCATTCACATGGTGACGTTCACAGCCTTCTTAGGCACTTCTGGGGGTACCTCGGCCTCTGGAGTTAGACAAAGCCGTGGGACTCCTGGCTCAGCTCTTTGACCTTGGGCACATTATCTCACCTCTTTGTCTCTGTTTCATCATCTGTAAAATGGGGATGATCATACCTACCTCTTGGGGTGATGAAGAGGATAAAGGGAGGGGGGTGTGCAAAGCACCCTGGCACTGGTCTAGCACTGAGTGGATGCCCTAAAATGGCAGCTGTTGGAAAGATGAGGCTGGCATGATGGCAGTGATTCTGCAGGAGGAAGGGGTGGGCCAGGAGGATCCCTCTCCACTCTCCCTCTCACTGAGGTGAAATCCCGTAAACACTTCCAAGAGGATGGGAGCACGGGCAGTGAGTCATGGCGGGAGAAAGGGCCACGAAGCAGATCATTACAGTCCAGCCCAGAGATTGAACAGAGGCACAGACGTGAGTCTGGATCTGCAGGTTGACGCCATGGGGCCAGACGGCGCAGGACAGAGCCGAGCGGCCTTCTTCCGAGGGCCATATGCTGGCTAGGGAGGCTACGGCCCCCGACGGGCTTCCGCTTGCTCCCCTGCGGGTCTTCTATGGATCAAGCAGAGTGCTGGGTGCCTTACAGAGACCATTTCAAATCCTGACAAGGGCAACATTTACCCCATTTTTCACATGAAGAAACTGGGAGGTGACAGGATTTTCTGAAGGCTCCTCAGTAAGAGGGAGCTGGGGCTCCAACTCGGCTCACTCTGACTAAACAGCCAGCTTCTTCCTCTTTTGAAAATACTGACATATATTTATTTTTAACTCCCTTAAAACAAGAGCAGGCCCATTACATATTAATATAATGGAAAGTTATGAAAAATAACTATCTTCCCCCCCAAAAAAAAGACTGTGAGGAGAGTGACATTGCAAATCTCTTTTTTCTGTGTGTGACTTGTTATCTGCATTTTACTATTTTTAGTTTATTTTTATTGAGACGTAATTGTCATATAACTGTGTAAGTTTAAGACGTACAGTGTGTTGGTCTGATACATTTACATATTGGAGTATGGCTGCCAGTGAGGTGATAGCCAACACCTCTTAACTTCACAGAATTATCTTTTTTTTGTGGGGGGAGAACAATTAAGATCAAGGCGCTTAGTAACTTTGAAGTTTATGATCAGTATTGACTGTATTCACTCTGCTACGCCTGAGATCTCCAGAACTTATTTAATCACTAGTTGCAAGTTTGTATCCTCAAACAACATCTCCCCGATTTTCCCACCCCCTGGCCACTGGTAACCACCATTCTACTCTGTTTTTACAAGTTTGGCTTTTTTAGATTCCACATATAAGTGAGATCATACAGTATTTGTCTTTCTCTGTCTGATTTATCTCACTTAGCATAATGCCCTCAAGGTTCATGTTGTTGTAAATTAAGCCCATCTTATTAATCACTCTGCCAGGACACCCACCTAACCCAAACTTGGGGACCTCTGAGAGACACCTTTGCCAGAGGGTCCTAACATGGCACATCCCTTCTCTTTGTCAAAATTCCCCCCCTCCCCCAGAGGTGGCTCTTCTCAGGAGACTTTGCCGCCCTGCTAGCAGTCAGCATGGAAACATCTTGGTGGTTGGGACCATTAAATATAGAAACATCTTAGTTTAATCTAAGAACAAACCAAAATTAAAAGAAGAAAGAACATACCCTGAGCCTTCAGAACTTAATGCAGAAAGTAAAGCAGAAAAAGAAAAAGAAAGAAAAGAAATGGAAAAACAGCATGAAAAATCACCATCTATTCTAAAGTATAATTTTCATGACTGAAAAAATACATTCAGTGACTGGACTCTGGGCCTGGGATAAAGAGGGAGGTTTGCACGAGTGTCTGTGGGTGCAGCTTCCCTCCTGGATATGGATGGAGGCCAAGCCAAAGAAAGGGGTTGTCATGGATAGACATTGTTTTGTCTCCTTCCCAACTTGGTGGTGGAGAGAAAGTACATGCATAGGAAATAAACTTTTTAGGAGACCAAGAGATTTAATCACAGAACAGGTCGGGAAGTCAATGCACTGCATGGGACCACCAATATGAAAGTTATTTTTCATCTTTTATGGCTCCACTTTGAGTTGAGATAATTATTGGATTATTCTAAGTAACAGGGAGACAATCAAGCAAATGCAATTGAATCCCAACTTCTATGTAAATATCCATTTTCCCTACTCCCCCTGCCCCCTCACCAACCACACAGCAGCTCTCAGCCTCCCCCCACCCCCTGGAGCCCCAATGCTTATTCTGAGCCACCCCCTCTGCCCCGTGTGTGTGGGGGAGTGAGGGACAGACTGGAAGGGGGAGGTAGAAAGCAGGAGGGAAATGCTGTCAGACTTAATCTGATTGCAGCGGGGAACCGGCAAAGGCCTGTGGAGCTGACTTGGGCACAGTGGGAGATGAGATGGTGTGTACTGGGCGTGATAGAGAGCATCTCGTGTGACTTGTTCAACAAAACCCCCAACTAATGTAACCATGAGGTGTTAATCAGGTTTTACCAGTTCCCAGCATTACTGGGGGCTCAAATGCGGACCATACAAGGATAAACATCTTTTATGTATGTGAAAATTTTAACATAATACAATAAAAAGAATATTTATAAGAAACAAAAGATTTGTTTGCTTTTACCTGATATTGGGAACTTCTTCTTCTACGATCAAGTCCGAAAGAAGAAAATGGTGTTTTGCAATCAGGAAACGATTTATCACTGATTCTCTAACCTGAGGACAGACAAGTGTTTTATTTAAAATCTCCCCAGTACATAGACTTCACAGCTCACTCCCTTGACTCCTTCGAGTTTTCACCTTGCCAGGTGACACCTCAGTGCATCCGCCTAGCGCACCTGCACTTTTCTCCTTGGTGCTAACCTCTTCCTATAGAAATCAACCCGCTTTGCTCACTAACGTAAGCTCCCTAAGGCAGAGGGGGTTCTGTTTCGTTCACTGCTATATTCGTGGGTCCTGGGAAGGTTCCTGGTGGATGATAGTGAAATTTTGCTGAATGAATGAACAATTGGCAAAAATAGGACCAATCTTGAAGCACACAGATTTCAGATTCTTAACTTCTTCCTCTATTCAGACTGACTTATTTTCCAATTATTCCTTGAATAGAGGACCTCTTAAATGTCATAAATTGTTATTGTTTTTTTTTATAAGGAGCCCCCAGGGTAGATCATTTGGGTGGGAAAAATGTACTCTAGTGACTATAGCATTTCCTACAAGTTAAATTTATTAAAAGAAGGAAGGGCAAAAGGATATTTCAAGTTTTTCATGCATCAGGGCAGTTAGTATGTAGTTTATAAAATTTTTTCATTACAAAGGTGATATGATGCAAACATTCAAATATGAGAAAAATCACGACTTAGAAACTGTGTCCCTTGTAATCATGCCCCCCTCAAGATAACCACTGATAATATACTGAGGTACATCCTAGTGTTCCATATGTTCAAAAGATGAAGACAGCTGTTAATTTCATATCTGTAATTATGAGCAAATAAGTCTGGAGAGGTTAAGTGACATTTAAGTATCCCATAGAGGACTTCGAAGAATAGGCACCACCCTCCCCCCAGTGTGAGGGTGCTGGTTATTTCCCCCTCTGAGGACTCTGTAAAATGGTTTTCCTTACCTGCTGGAGGTACTTGGCGACTATGGCCCTATGGGTATCTATGTGGTCCTTGGTTTCAATTACATTTCTGTCTCGTAAACGTTTCTCATAGTCCTAAAATTAAAAAGGAATAATTTTATGACTGTAAATTACTGGTACTCCCCCATGCGAGACTAGAGAATTTATCTTGAGATTAGAGAATTTGTCACATGTGGTTTAAGTAATAAATTATGGTTCTAAATATTTCTTCCACCTTCCTCTTCATTTTTGGTCCAAGATTGATCTTCGATGCAGTATGCAGGTTTTGGAACCAGTTGGTTGAACTGGCTTATAAGTAGAAGATAATTCTGTAGAGCAATTACAACTTAAGCTCTTTATGCAGGAAGAAAGAGGCCACAGAGATAACAGAGAGACTCACTGTAGTTCAAGATGCTAAGCTCACCCAAGCAACTCAGCCAAAGCCTCTGCTCACATTTTTGTCTTTTCTATTTTAAGTGGAGCAATTACAAAAATAGTAAATAGCATCTGGCCGCAGATGATGTGGGTCACCTACTTGGAGGAGAGTAGAGGGTGCGTGAGCTTTGTCTTCTTAGGCTGCTGACTTTGCTCTCTCTATCGGTAAAATCCCCCGTGGGCCCAGGAAGCTGCCATGTCCTGCTTCGGTCCTTTGCTGGTCACAGCTGAATACCCCGGGTGTCTCCTAACCCAGCCTGGGAAACTCAAGCAATCTGTTCCCAAGATTTCTTTTTTTCTTTCTCTCTTTCTTTCTTTCTTCCTTTTTTTTTTTTTTAGATTTATTTATTTATTTTAGAGAGAGAGTATGCCTGAGAGTGTGGGGGCGGGGGGAAGGGGAAGAAGAAGGAGAGAATTCTCAAGCAGACTCCCTGCTCAGCACAACCCAACTCCGGCCGGATCCCCGGACCCTGAGATCATGACCTGAGCCTAAATCAAGACCCAGATGCTCAACCGACCGAGCCACCCAGGTGCCCCTGTAGCTGTTCCCAAGATTTTTAAACTTGGGATAAGATGGAGAAAAGTCCTGGCAGTGTTTAGGTTCTGGATCCAGGGGTCATTGAGGCACAGATGAACTCCCGCCATTCATGCCTCTTTAGATATTTAACCCTATTTTGGCATTTCATCATCCAATAAACTCTCCTTAGTGCCTGAAGTAGCTTAAATTGGCTTTTTATCACTCACCATCACAAATCCAAACTAATACAAAGAAGAACCAAGTAACTAAAAATATTGTCCAACAGTTTCCACACTTTCTGCATAAAAAAATCACACTGGTATCAATTTCTAATGGCTCTTCATTTACCTCATCAAACACTAACTTGCCTGTCTGGCTTTCACTGACCTGCTGTCCCTGCCCCCCCAAAACATACCCCTATTGCCTGTAGCTCCTCAAAGGCTCCCCACCTGCGGGCCCCCTCCTCCTGTGGGCCCTGCCCACCCAGAGCGACTGAGACCCCAGCAGCTCCCCCCAGCGCTTAACCAAGCGTTGTGCTTGGTAAATACTTAATGGGTTAAACTGGCACTGAATTCCTGACAGGAACAGCGTGGCAGGATAATTTCCCATAGTAACACTTAAGATACTTTTCAACCCTAATTTTTCTTAGTTTATACGTCATATTGGGCAAAGAGATTATTTAAACATTAAGTTTAGGAAAAATAATGGAAAGGTTAAGTGTTATAAACGAGAAACCACTATGGCTACTGAGAACATGACAGCGAGAAAACACACACATAATAGTACACCGAATGGTACGGCGATATTTTATTATGGTATTAACTCCTCCATGGCAATTTCTTACCTGGAATACTTTTTCCATAATTTCTCGGTCATATGCTGGAATTTGCTTATAATTTCGGAATTCTGGCACCTCTTGGCTTCTAAGACAAAGAAGCCTGAATCGTTTGGATCTATTCAATTCCTCATCTGAAACAAAGTTAAATTCTTGCTGCAGCTGTTCCAGGCGAAAGAAATCAGGGACATAGGATTCACCGCTGGTAGCAACCTACAGAAAACAAGAGATACAACTTTAGATGGCAGGCGGATTGCGTCTGAAGAAACCCAGCACGGAGCTTTTGGGAATGGAAGCTGAATAGTTGTGGACTGAGACTTGAAATATCCTGCATTTCATTGAAGGACAAAATGCGCTAAAATATAACAGTAATAAGGCAGATGCTATTCTATTCCTGTACTAGCTATAAAAAGTACCGCAAATCATTTTCATTTTTTGGCATGCCTGCTTCCCTCATAGGTGTTATGCAAATCTACAGCCTGAAAAGTGAGAGATTTGTATCAGTGTATTAGTAGGTGCCTATTGGAGATAGGATTCTTATATACACAGTGTATGTGAAATCTAATATATGTATTTAAAATATATTTAAGATATATTGCATATTAAAATACTTAAAAATAACTTAATATAACTTTAAAAATATATTTAACAAAATATTTTGAAATATTAAAAAAAATATATTTATGCACACATGTAGATCAGGTCCCAGAATCAGCTGATCGGCTTCCCTGGCTCCAGGGCCATGCTCTTCTGTCTCTGAACAGCACCTCATGGCCTTGGTCAGTGAGTAGAGAGAGCCAGAGATCGTTCTGAGCGCCAACCTCCCTACACTGGCACTGAAAGGACGGTTTCAGGGTACCACTGAGAGGCTGAGCAGGTGGGCTGCACTCTGCCCAGGTGTCTGTTGCCCCTCTGCTGGGGGCTTGGTCAGTGGCACCCTCCTCCTCGCAGAAGGAAAGCCAGGGAGCAGAGATTTGCTGGGGCTTTGCACTGGGAAAGGTGATCCTGCTGTGAAAATCCATTAAAAAGAGACTAGTCAGGAAGGCATCCCTGTGTTCTGTCCTTCTATGGGAAGACAAATAGTTTAAAAGAAAAACATGGAGGTGACACTTGTATTATATTACCACTGACTTAAAGATAGTAATCGAGGGCGCCTGGGTGGCTCAGTCGTTAAGCGTCTGCCTTCAGCTCAGGTCATGATCCCGGGGTCCTGCGATTGAGCCCCGCATCGGGCTCCCTGCTCAGCTTCCTATTTCTCCCTATGTCTCTCCTCCCCACTCATGCTCGCTTGCTCTCTCTTGCAAAAATAAATAATAAAATCTTAAAAAAAAAAGATAGTAATCGAAACATGATTTGAAAACTCTACATGGAATAGACTATGCTCTAGGTAATATGGCCTATTCTTTCCAATATTTTTTTTAGTCACACTAAGAAGTATCATGTTGGAAGGAGAGCTTATAAAGATAAAAATAAAAATAAACCAAAGCTTGCTTTGAGACTTATCTAAGAAATTTAAGGACAGAAATGAACATGTTATTCTGGTTACAGTTCCCCTGCTGATGAACTCACATGAATGAACTTGATCACAGAATGTGTTGCCGTGGTCACTTTCCGGATCATCTACTTGTTTATTATGTTTTTGTGGGAATTATGAACTTGGGTGTAAAAACAATTGTATTTGCCACCAAGAGAAATCATTTACTGACTAATGTTCCATTTTATTTATAAATTCACTGAAGAAAGAATTTTGAATGTTATGACAGGCAAAAGCAATTTATCTCAGACATACTTAAATGAAACCTAAATGATAATCTAATTAACCATCAAACAGGAAAACAAACATAACCACCATTTCTGAAAACACTCCTACCAGCCGTTCCAGGTGTGATGGACCGAGCATGTGCTCTGAAATCAGATCGACTTGGACCCGAGTCCTCACCAGTCGTGTGAGCTCGAGCAATGACTCTGAGCGGCTGCACGCAGGTTCCTCTCCATAGGAGGGGCCAAGTAAGACTTCTCTTTAGGGTTTTGCAGAAGTTAGAGATAAGAGTAACACCACCACCACAGTAACAACTATTATTGATTGCACACCGACTGTGTGCCCAGCTAAGTGTGGAAATGCAGCAGTGCATGTCCTCATGGCCACACTGTGATGGCGTCAGAGTGCCTAGAAAGCATGAGCCAGACAGGGGCAGAGCCTGACCTTAAACCAGTCGTTCAACCCAGCCCTCATGTTCTTAAACGCTATCGCACTGGAGAATACCGTGTGAAAGAAAATGTGTGTGAAGGGCTGAGCCATTTCTATTATGATCACTCCAACTCGAGAAATGGGGGTGTGCACACAGTTCTCCTGCCACATTACCGAGATTAGCTGCATCAAAGGGGCATTGTTGGGGTCGTTCGGGTCGAGCTTGGACTCCGCCGCCCACTTGGCCAACTTTTTCAAGTCTGTCAGTCCGGATGTGCCAATAGATGAGATGGCATCTGCCCTCTTCAAAGCACTGGAAAAAAAGTGAATGCCATGAGATGGATGTGTTCACAGGGCAGTTTGCCTTAGGCCCACAAAATCCCAGGAACAGCACTGCTTAAGGAGGCTCTTGCTTTCTATGTGAGAAAATCTGATGATAAGAAAGGAGTTGTGCCATTTTTCTTTACTTGATCACTGCTATTAAGTATGTTATAGGGATAATAGAGAAGGGTGATTGGTGGGAGAAAATACTTGCAATCCACAAGTCTGATAAGGAGTTAAGGTTTAAAATATACAGGGAATCATAGCTCAATAGCAATAACACAAAATCTAATTAAAAAATGGGCAGAGCTGGGCGCCTGGGTGGCTCAGTTGGTTAAGCGACTGCCTTCGGCTCAGGTCATGATCCTGGAGTCCCGGGATCGAGTCCCGCATCGGGCTCCTTGCTCAGCGAGGAGTCTGCTTCTCCCTCTGACCCTCCCCCTCTCGTGCTCTCTCTCTCATTCTCTCTCTCTCAAATAAATAAATAAAATCTTTAAAAAAAAAATGGGCAGAGGACCACAAGAGACATTTTTCCAAAGAAGACATACAGATGGCCAGCGGGGACATGAAAAGGTGCTCAACATCACTCCCCACCAGGGAGACACAAATCAAACCGACAGTGAGATATCACCTCACACTTGTTAGAATGGCCATCATCAAAAAGACACGAGATACCAAGTGTTGGTGAGGATGTGGAGAAAAGGGAACCTCGTGCACTGTTGGCAGGAATGTAAATTGGTGCAAACACTGGAGGTTCCTCAAGAAATTAAAAGTAGAACTGCTGTATGATTCAGTAATTCCACTTCCGGGTATATATCTGAAGGACACAAAATCACTATCCTGAAGAGGTACCTGCACCCCCATGTTTATTACAGCATTATTTATAATAGCCAAGACATGGAAACAACTTAACTGTCCATCCGTGGAAGAAGGGATAAAGAAAATGTGGCATGTATACATAATAGAATATTACCCAGCCATAAAAAAGGAGGCATCCTGCCATTTGCAACAACATGGATAGAGCGTGAGGGCATTATGCTAAGTGAAAGCAGTCACACAGAGCAAGGCAGATATTGTAGGATTTCACTTATATATGGAATTTTAAAAAAACAAAACTTGTAGAAACAGAGAACAGATTGGTGGTTGCCAGAGGTGGGGTTAGGGAGGGGGATGGGTGAAGGAGATCAAAAGGTCCAAAGTTCCAGTCATACGATAAATAAGTCTGGGAGATCTAATGTACAGCATGGCGACCACAGTTAACAATACTGTATTTTACATTTTAAAGGTCCTGAGAGAGTAGATCTGAAAAGTTCTCACGGCAAGGAAAACAAAATTTGTCACTATGTGTGGTGACGGATATAAAGTAGACTTATTTGGGTGATTATTCCACAATATATACATTAATCAAATCATTATGGTGTACACCTTAAACTTACACAATGTTCTGTGTCAGTTCCATCTCAATAAAACAAACAGACAAAATGGAGTATGATGTGGCGCCCATCCCTAGAGTCCCAGGATCCAGGCCAGATCTGCCTCGTGCCTCGCTCCCCACACAACTGGGGACTTAAATGCACAACTGATTTAAGCACCAACTTTGGACACGCCTGAGTTGCCAGGAGGCCCGGGGGTGTTGGCAACAGTGAGTTGGGGCTTCGTTAGTAGCACCGCATTTCTCGTTACTCGCACTGGGCTTGACCCCCTCTCCTGAGGAGCTGGAGCTTTCATCCCTGGTGCGGAACTCAGTGGAATGGATACATCTGTATGCTTATACTCCAAGGCCTCCGCGGGACGTGGTTGCCGGACTCCTGACTGCAAAAGCACAGAGCAGCATTCCCTGTGCTTGTCCCAGGGACACAGGCATCAGAATCGGGACAGAGAGGACATAAAGGGAACAAAACGAGCCCCACTCTGTTTTCACTCATGTCATAAATGACAGCCTGTGAATTGGAAAGTGTCTTCTTGATGATCAGGGTAAATCCTTTAGTTTTAGAGTGGAGGCACCTGAGGCCTAGAAGGTTAAAAGATCAACTCAAGGCACATCTGTTGGGGCAGGACGGAAGCAAGAATTGAGCCCAGGCCACCTGGCTCCCGTAGTCCAGGCTGCCTGGGCAGGCACCAGCCACAAGGAGGTGGGACCAGCTTAGGGGGGAAATGGGTGAGGTCCAGAGTGCCTTTTCTTCTGCTCTGGTAGGAACCTAAGGAGCTAGCAATCAAGGAAGAGATCTGACCGTGGGGACTTTTATAATAATCAGAAGGTTCTACAACCATCCTCATTCACACTGAGGACCACGTATACACGTGCTGTGTACTTCCCCCGTCTATAAAATGGGGACAGGAATCCTTCACAGAGTTACTGGAGAGATTAAATAAGGCGAAGTGCTTTTTGCTGTTTCTGACACTGCTGAACATCTAATATTTATTAGGCTATTAATATTTTAATTCTTACCTCAAGAACAATAAAAAGACCCTGAAAATACTGGCACATGAGAATAAAAGGAAAGAATGTGATATTGCAAGCTTCCCCCTCCCGTGCCATGAATGCAAACGCTGACATTACTCATGCATTTATTCTAGACACACAATACCTTCTAAATCCGATGTTCTGCTGTGACAGTGGGGGAATTAAAGGGATCCCGTTTTCTCCAATGGCCCAAGCCACACCGTTGGACACCTTCCCCGAGGTCATTAGAATCAGTTGATTACTACCATCCGCTTCAAATGAGAAGGGCACTCCTAGGGAAACACCAGATTACACAGACGTTGTTGAGGAAAAGGGAGCGAGCCCAGCCCTGGTAGGAAAGCAGACAGTCAAATGGGATGGAGGGGCTATAGAGCTGGCAGGATGGAACATAATTCCGATCAGCATCCCTGAACTTCTTCAGGCAATGACGCTCAGCATTGGCCGCTTGGTTCTAGCTCTGACAGCAGTGTGTAGACCTTACAGAATGAATGAGGCACTGTGGAGTGGAACATCTGTGTGCCTATTCTGGTTCTGCCACTTAACAGCTGTGTGACCACAAACAGATTGCTTAACTTCTCTGAGCCTTCGTTTCTTTATGTATAAAATAGGGATAAAAATAGTACCTCCTAAAAAGATGACAATGAAGACCTCCATTCATTCACTCAGTCAATAGATACGCATTTGAGTCCCTCCTTCATGCCAGGCACTATTTTAGGGACTGCAGATTGCAGTAAAGAAGCAGAGCTGATGAGAATCCCTGTTCTCAAGGAGTTTATATTCCAGCAAGGGAGGCAGGCAATAAATAAGAGAAATAAGAGGAACGTGTGAGTTTTACTATTAAATGTTGGGGGGTTGACCTATTTTTATTGATTTTGAGGGGGGATCTCTGTGCCTCCTGGATTTTGATGCCTGTTTCCTTCCCCAAATTAAGGAGGTTCTCTGCTATAATTTGTTCCAATATACCTTCTGCCCCCCTCTCTCTTTCTTCTTCTGGGATCCCAATTATTCTAATGTTGTTTCACTTTATGGTATCACTTATCTCTCTAATCTCCCCTTGTGATCCAGTAGTTGTTTATCTTTTTCTCAGCTTCTTTATTCTCCATCATTTGGTCTCCTATATCACTAATTCTCTCTTCTGCCTCATTTATCCTAGCAGTTAGAACCTCCATTTTTTATTGCACCTCATTAATAGCCTTTTAGACTTCTACTTGGTTAGATTTTAGTTCTTTTACTTCAGAAAGGGATTCTCTAGTATCTTCTATGCTTTTTTCAAGCTCAGCTAGTCTCTTTATCATTGTTATTTTGAATTCTAGTTCCAACATCTTACTAATGTCTGTACTGATTAGGTCCCTGGTAGTTGGTACTGCCTCTTGTACTTTTTGAGTTTTTCCACCTTGTCATTTTGTCCAGAGGAGAATAGATGAATGAGAGAACAAAATGCTAAGAAAATGCTAAAACGGTAACAACAACCCTAGAAAAATATACACTAAACAAATCAGAAGAGACCCGAAACTGGGGGGAAAAGAAAGGAAAAAAAAATATGATTAGTCTGGTGAACAGAACAGAGCCACACAATAGATTTTGGGTGTATTTTGGTCTGTTAGAAGAAATTGTCTCCCAAAATTTTAAAGAAAGAAAAACTTATAATATACACAAAAATAAGGGTAAATACAATGAAGGGATGAAATATGACTGTGAAGATGAAAATTAAAAAAGATTTTAAAAAAGGAATTGGTAAGAAGTTGGTGGGAATGCAAGCTGGTGCAGCCACTCTGGAAAACAGTATGGAGGTTCCTCAAAAAGTTGAAAATAGAGCTACCCTATGACCTAGCAATTGCACTACTGGGTATTTACCCCAAAGATACAAATGTAGTGATCTGAAGGGGCACATGTACCCCAATGTTTATAGCAGCAATGTCCACAATAGCCAAACTATGGAAAGAGCCTAGATGTCCATCAACAGATGAATGGATAAAGAAGAAGTGGTATATATATACAATGGAATATTATGCAGCCATCAAAAAATGAAATCTTGCCTTTGCAATGATGTGGATGGAACTAGAGGGTATTATGCTAAGCGAATTAAATCAATCAGAGAAAGACAAGTATCATATGATCTCACTGATATAAGGAATTTGAGAAACAAGATCATAGGGAGAGAGAGGGAAAAATGAAACAAGACAAAACTGGAGAGGGAGACAAACCATAGGAGACTCTTAATCTCAGGAAACAAACTGAGGGTTGCTGGAGTGGAGGGGGGTGGGAGGGATGGGGTGGCTGGGTGATGGACACTGGGGAGGGTATGTGCTATGGTGAGTGCTGTGAACTGTGTAAGACTGATGAATCACAGACCTGTACCCCTGAAACAAGGGTTATTATATGTTAATAAAAAAATAAAATAAATAAATAAAAAAGAGGAACATGTGGTACGTTAGAGAGGGATAAATGTGGAGGAGAAACCATAAATTAGGGAACATATATAGAAAATGTGCATTTGTGGGGGTGGGGAAGGGCTGAACTTTTAGATGGGGTGGCAGAGAAGGCTCCATGAGAGGGGACTTTTGGGTAAAGGCCTGAAGAAAAGGAGGAAATGAGACATGCAGATATGTTGGGAAAGAGCATTTTTGGCAGAAGGAATAAGTTCAAGTGCCTGAGGGTGGGGGTATGCCCTAGTGAGGAGCCACACGTCAGAGCACTTAGTGCCTGGAAGACTGTGGCCACTCAACAAACCTCAGCTACTCTTAAACTACTGGGCAACCATAAGCCTCACTTACATATCTGGCTTCTACCAATTGGAAATTAATGATAAAAAGTCTCAGGACAGGTTGTTTAATCAACTCAAGGAAGAAAAGATTTTCAAGCACTAAATATAGCGACTGCATGCCCTGGAGTTCCAGTTAATATTAGCAGCACAAAACAGAACCACTATTACACTGTAAGAGCATCTTTGTATTTTTCAAAGATCTTTCCTTCAAACTGAACGTCCACTTTAATCTTCAAAATAACCCTAAAAGACATTAAAGGAGGTATCTTTAGATTCATTTTGTGTATGAAGACAATGATATTCAAAGAGAGTACATAATTACTAGGGTGCCACACCTTATCAGTGTGAGAGCTGGAACTAAAGCCTAGATCTCCAGACTTGCAGGTTGGCAATTGGATTTGAGCCTCAAAGAATTCTTGCAGATACATCTCCAGATACGAGCTCACAATAGAAAATCACTAGACACATAAGGAAACAAGACACCATGAAAAGGGGCAACAGAATCAGACCAATAAGCAGGTAGGTATTGAAATGATCAGATACAGAATGTTAAAAAGTATGTGTAATACGTTTTTAAAAATAAAGGAAGTAATGACTGAATAAAAGAAATGAAATGATTGAGAGTCAGAGGAAAGGACAAACGTTATCAGAACTGACCAGACAGATTGGAAAAGAATTAAATAGAATTTCTAGAGGTGAAAAATGCAATAATTAAAATGAAAAACTCAGTGATGAGCTTCAGTGATTAGACACAGCCAAAGAGTGAATTCATGACTTGGAAGACAGATTTAAAGAAGTTTTATGGAATACAGTAGTGAAAGAAAAAGATAGCAAGGTATATTATGGAGTTAAGAAACATGGTGAACAGAGAAGGTACGTCATCTATCTAATCACAGTTATAGGGAATAAGAGAGATAATATTAATTAATAATATCCCTATTATAATTATTTAAGTTTTTTCAATTTTTTCAGCCTTATGAATAATACCATGATGTACATTTTTTTATGCACAAAGCTTTGTCCTCGTTTCTAATTATTTCCTTATAAAATATTCCTAGAAGAAAAATTAAGATGTTAAAGGCATTTTAAAGGTCTTTATCCACATTGTCAAACTACTTTATACTTGCCTAGTTATATGAATTTATTGGCCACCCACAGTATACAAAAAAAGACTGCAAAAAATTGCAATTCATCATTTTAATTTGAATTTCTGAAAGCAATTTTATAATTTTCTGGTTGTTTGAAAATGAAAAAAAAAAAGCTATGTTCAAAACTGACAGTAAAATCGTGAGCTACTAATAATAATTAGCTTTCCATACCACTTCCAACTCCCTCGTGGTCCAGTGTCACATGCTGGTTACTGCTAAACTCCACTTCTTCAATGGGAGCCCTTCCAGTGACAATGGTAGTTTCAGGAATAGGCAGAAACACTTCCGCTAGCAAAGTGGTACCACTGTGTCCAATTGTTTCATATACCTGAAATTGAAGAAGAAAAACAGTCAAAGAAAAATAGCAGGAGTGTGCTCACTCCCAGATATTTAATCCACTTATCTATGTGGACCACTGTTCTTGCCCAGAGCATCCATTTCAGAGTGGAAAAGTTGAGTTTTGTTATTATGGTTCCCATGGACAATAAGTTACACCCTATTTGTGGCCAAGTTGTTGACATCCTGTCCTCTTGTCTGGTCTACTATCCTGGGGTAGAGAGGTTAATCAAATTAGTAGGCTACCAAAACTGTTTCATTTCAAGCCAATACACAGGTTATCTGGAGAGTGGGATTCCTCTTTTTCCTGGTTTATGTTATCTCGGAAAGAAACGCCATCAGGTGGAATGGGTCAGATAAAATAAGCATGCCACTAGGTGATTTATTATTTACACCAACCTCAAAGTCAATAGGAGAAGTATCATACCTAGAAGTACTCTAGAGTATCAGGTTCAAATCTACTATTTAGTAAATCTTTCAAATTCTTTCCTTCAAGAGCTCATTTAATTTGTTGGCTGCTGAAACCCTACCAGCTCCTTCTCAGACTTTCTCCCAAGAGGGAGCCAACTAGACCCGCTGCAGTCTAATTACTGTGGTGTGTCTCATTATACTGCCATCTCCATGAGATTAAGGGTCCATTGCCAAGGCAACCGTAGATTATGAATATACAAGGCAGCTTCAGTAGGAACTTTGCTCCATTGGATCAAATTTCTCTTGTGTCCTCGGATCATTGCACTTTTGTGGTAAGAAGATGTCAAAATATTCCACAGTTCTGCTGGCTTCTTTCCTGTGTTTTATTCTTTCCCTGCAAGAAGTCTCTGGCTGGTACACATTTCTCCAAAGTGCTGATTTCACTTCTTTTATTTTTACTAACTAAATCTTCATATTTTTCTTCTTGTGCAATAGAGTCCCCCTCTGATCATTACTTTCCATTTACCACTGGCATGCACAAAGATGACACTACAGGTCCTCTCCCCCCACTCTCCCCTACAGGGCATATGATATGAATTCTTTTTCAAGGATGAGGATGAGGCTGAATTTGTGCTAGGCTGCCATCCTGGCCCCGTCTCCCTGGTATCCACCAGCTCGCATTTGCCAGATGGCTGACTGAGCTTGGAGGGGATACTGGGGCAAAGACAAAGACATAACCACCGAACTCAGGACCCTAGACTTAATATCACTGTGAGCTATTCTAACAGGCTGTGTGCACTAAGAGACCTGTGATTGTCAGGGCCCACCTGTGCCAAGTGTCCAAGTCCACCTAATTCAGGGCTCAGCAGGAAGCCCATGAGTAATGCCACATTCTCCAAATTCATCTTTATCAGTAAAAAAGGTGATATTTTGTTCTCTATTAAAAAACATCTTTTATGGAAAATGTCAAACATATAATCCTAGAAGAACAATATAGCATGAACCCATCACCTGGCTTCAAATACCATTAGCTTACGGCCAACCTGGTTTCATCTCTACTCTCATGCTTTCCCCTCTCCACCAATATTTGGAACCCAGACATCATTTCATCTGTAAATATTTCAATATGTGTCTCTAAAAGACAAGGATATAAAAAAAGCATAGTTTTAATATTATTATCACAGTAATTCCTTCATAATGTCAAATATCAGTAAGTTTCACATTTCCTTCAGAGTCTCAAGAAATTACTGTAAAGCTTTGTTTGAATCAGGATCAAAATATATTCTGTACAGTGTGACTGATTGATAAGTCCCTCAAGCCTCTATTAATTTGTAGGCGACACTCCTCCCTTTTCATAATTTTTAAATTTCTCTGTATTTTTATTGGTTTAGAGCTCTAAAGGAAAAAGGAATGCCATTTATTGCTTGCCCCAAACTCCCATAGGAGTTGTAATCTTACAGAACTTAAAGAACATAGAGCAGATTATTTTTTCTTGCACAGAAGACCTTGGTTGACCTGTTAAATTATGGACTCACTAGCATGAAGTTTCAGCCTGAGAAAATGGTATGTTTTCTTTCCTTTTTAAAACTTTTTTTTTTTTTTTTTGGCCAACATTTTAATTGACATCCATTTGTATGCAGCCCAGTATGGGCTTTTGGTCTGGCATTTTGTTCAATCTTTCACACATTCCTATGAAGGATGGTTTGTGGTGAAGATTAAGCCGGATAATAGACCCAACAATTCTGGATGATGGATTTGAGGGTGCAAGAGGAGAAACTCCTCCAGCCATTCATTTGGTAATTCAAAAAGCTGGGATTTGAATCCACAACTGTTTCACTTCAAAACTCATACACTTTTTTGCTATGTCTTCCTTATGGGCCAAGGACAATCTGAAAGGTGATCAAACAATTAAGAATTCTTTTAAAGTCATAGCCATGATCCAGAAAATATAATTAGTTTAGACAAACTGGTGAGAAATAATGATTGAAAGAGTATTTAAAATCTGAATTAAAAAAACAACAAAAAATGAAAGTACTATAAAAACAACGTCTAGGGGCACCTGGGTGGCTCAGTTGGTTAAGCATCTGACTCTTGATCTCAGCTCAGGTCTTGCTCTCAGGGTTGTGGGTTCAAACTCCATGTTGGGCTCCATGATGGGCATGAAGCCTACTTTAAAAGCAAACAAACAAGCAAAAAAAAAAAAAAAAGCAATGTTTATAATGAAAACTTAAAGGATCACTCAGCATATGTGGTTGTGATCAAAAGACTACTGAGCTATTTCTGTCTCAGACTCCTTGGTTGCTCAGAACTCTCAAGAGGGATGCTGCCTCAGCAAGGCAGGTGTGTCCCGTTTACTCCAGAGCAGGTGCTTTAACTCTCTGCAAGGTGCCCACGTGTACTAGGCACCAAGTGAGACATGTGGAGAGTTGCCACCTGCCCACCCATACCCACGTATGTGCCACCACCATACCCTGTGTTTTCCCTGGAGAAACAATTTCCACTCTATCGAAATTTCTTGTTTATGCATTGTCTGTCTCACTGGACATGGAGATTCTTGAGGATAGGGGTCTTGCTTGATTTCCCTTTGAATGCCTAGTACCTGCCATCTGAGAATTAATGTATTTAGAAGGGAGCATGCTAACTCTTTTTTTTTAAGATTTTATTTATTTATTTGAGAGAGAGAGAATGAGAGACAGAGAGCATGAGAGGGAGGAGGGTCAGAGGGAGAAGCAGACTCCCTGCCGAGCAGGGAGCCCGATGCGGGACTCGATCCCGGGACTCCAGGATCATGACCTGAGCCGAAGGCAGTCGCTCAACCAACTGAGCCACCCAGGCGCCCCGGGGAGCATGCTAACTCTTAAGAGAAGTAAGGCATTATTATTATTATTATTATTAAGTAAACTCTACCCTTAATGTGGGGCTCAAAACTCTTGACCCTGAGATCAAGAGTCACATGCTCCACTGACTGAACCAGTCAGGCACACCTAGAAATAAGGCATTGAATGATAAATCCATGGAAAGGAATGGTTTTCTTCTCTGAACAGCTGGTAGACCTGGGTGTAGTAAAGCGCTCAGATTTTCTCACTTATTTTACTCCCTACTTGTCACTCTTCTCGCAGCCTGTAGAGGGCAGTGTGGTGGATAGGACAGGGCAGCCTTGTGTTGCAACAGATCTGGAATCCTGACATTGACACTTAGTAGCTATGTGACCTTGGGCATGACATTCCCTGCTTTTTGCTTTCATTGTAAAATGAAGACATTATTTAAAGCTCTGCAGGAAGGCAGTGGTGAAGCATTAGGACATGGTATGAAAAGTCTCTTTCCTTCCTTATGAGCTCAATAAATGTTTATTCTTCTTCCTCTGGGCATACAATTGACAATAAGCTCTTGCATTTTTATAGTACTTTGTGGTTTACAAAGCTCTTTCATAAACATAACTACACTTTCCAAATATCTTGTTAAATCTTGCTGGTCAACTGGTTTTAGTAAACTCTATGAAATAAGAATTTCTTTTATTTAAATTAAACTTGTGGGGCGCCTGGGTGGCTCAGTTGGTTAAGCGACTGCCTTCGGCTCAGGTCATGATCCTGGAGTCCCGGGACCGAGTCCCGCATCGGGCTCCCTGCTCGGCGGGGAGCCTGCTTCTCCCTCTGACCCTCCCCCCTCTCATGTGCTCTCTGTCTCTCTCATTCTCTCTGTCTCAAATAAACAAATAAAATCTTTAAATAAATAAATAAATAAATAAATAAATTAAACTTGTAAGATCTGTCTTTTCAAGACACTAATTTTTTTCAAGAAAGACATTAAGTTGCTGAGGATTTGTAGGAATTTTATGGCATATTCCATATTTGTAATGAAATCATCTGTATTTCTGGGTCCCCAAAGGCAGGCAAGGAAGTGAAAAATGAACTACATTAAGGCTTAAATGCTTTTAAAAAAATCAGGAGCTAATGAAGTCCTGATATTACTTCAAGTTAAGGGAAAAGAAAGCATACCAATAATTAGAAAATACCATTTATGTTGGCAAAACAAGTTTCAGAAAGTGACGTGAATGAAGTATTTAATATTTCATTAAACCTTGTGTCTCTGACCTTGTGACTCTCTCACCTTCTACTACTTCAGAATTCCAAAATGTTCCAACACTCAATGCAGTTAAATAAGTGTGTGAAGCATATTTAAAAATAAGAACAAATCCAAATATTTTTCATATACCTTGCATCTCTTTCTATAAGAACCCAGTGTTTGCTTATTTAGCTGTGTAAGATAAAGTTTCTGTATTACATGGCACCAACGGCTTTACAAAAAACATCTCTGTTGGACTTTAATAATTCATCAAAAACTTTAGTGTGGAAGAACCACAAGAGTTCCTTCTAAGCTTTTCTGTTTTGGTTTTTATTCCTTGTGGGTATGCCCTGTGCTGGTCATTGTGCTTAAGTAATGACCCATAAAACACGCCGTTATTGTAGAAAGGGCATTTCTGGTGGACGTCAGAGGAAAGGTCCTTGTTCCCAGTCTCTGGAAACACATTCCTATTTAATGTCAGGAGAAGAACTAAATGGAGACTCTTGGTGCTGAGTCTTT